ATGGAATTGATTTTAAAAATGTTCTTTGCGATTGCTGTTTCACAATAATGTTTGCGGTTAATATTTTATTCTTCTGAATGATTTTAAAGTATCTTTAATAAAACAACCAATTAAGTTATTTAACTGCGTGTATTAATTTTTTATATTTTAAATATAACATTTTTTAAATCGCCTATTTGATATAAAATCAAATGATAATATACGGAACATAGCGTAACTTAGATTTACAAATGCTATTTATAAAAGCCGTATATTCTTGTAGTAATTGATAATGATATTGCTTTTTAAACCTAGGTTTATCATGGAATGTGTAAGACAACAAGATGACCCTTATTTTGAGGTTTCTTACTTTTTAGAAGATGCGTGGGTAAGCTTTATATAAATGGTATAACTCTGATTTCAATCTTAAAACGCCTAGTAATTATTACATACTTAAGAGAGAAGTTCTGGTATTTAGTGTGAAGTAATTATTTGTTACACCTATGGTTTGGAAATACCAAAATACACTAAATATTATTATATCGAAACAGTTTGCTGGACTAGACATGACCTTCATATGCGACTTATCAATTTCATTGAATGATACTACTACATACAGCAGGAATAGTCAAGTGGTACATACTGAGAAATTACATGGTGTTAGATCAGATTACATATACTGTACAATATAGATATATTCTTATCTTCTACGTGGCCTCCTTGCATTAAACATATGTTTTAATTTATGTTTTCAGACCTGTGTCTTAGCCGAAATGGAATATGAGTATTGTTATTTTACCTTATATTGTTCCATGGGCTCTAAAGTTTGAAACGTGTCATGAAGAGCTAAGAATGTTTTGTGGTTTAGAAAAAATGTTTCCTATGGTGTATTAAGATCGATTAGCATGATCATTCATTCCACATATTCATCTCTTACAGCTATTAGGAAACTGCAATTTCAAGAATCAAGGTCGGGAGTGATAAATATACACGAGTCAAGAGGCCGACAACTTGGCTTGTATATGAAAGAAGATCGGGGTTGAACACTTTGAGATCCTTGGTTATATACACATACACACACGCTCACACATAGATGTCATGCGACCTTTGCTAACATATACTTTCAAATAGCATACTCAGGAGTAGCAAAGACTGAAAAAAAAAGGACTGGAAAAGTTATTGGAATACTGAGAAATTAGGTGAACATAAAAAAGGTGAAACAGATTTATTGGAAATGGAAAAATTTCTGTTAAAGTATTGATAAATTATTAATAATAATGGTGAGTTGAAAAGTTTCAAAACTAACCTTGTTGTGCTCTCATTCAGGTGTGTTAAAAATTTGTAAAGAAGGAAAAGTGGAAATAAAATTCACAAACAACAGTATAATTAGTAGCAATGGGCTTAATTGTGATACTTGATATTAATAACCGTTTTGGTTATTCGAAAATATCACAACATATTTCGCCTTATCCACAGAGATTGCATGCTGTTTTTATTTAGCATCTTGTAAACTGATATGTCATCACTCGAAACAAACGATTTTTGTGTACACTTCGGAACATTTTACCAAATGTTAAGGAGATGAGAGAAATTTAAAAACAAATAAGATATATATTAACTGATGTTTTTGTTCCCTGTTTCAGTGTACATAATCATTTTCATTAGTAGTTTCAACGCAAAAATAGAAAAAAAAAAGTTTAGCTTCAAATCAAATCAAACTGCGATCCAAAAGTTATTTTGCTTTACAAATAAATACCAAGTATTAAACGTGATTTGTTTACTTATTTGAATGTTATTGACCAATTATTAAGTCCTTCAAATAACAAGCTCCTCCTAAGAGAGACTAGTTATATATTCTTTAAAACTCAACGAGATAAAATATAAAGTGTTGTAGTAGAAAAATACCTGAGATAAAAGCCACGGAGTAATATCCCTATTACTTAAAAATACACATAGTATTAACGTAGCTATAAAATCATAATGTAAAAAAACCCGATTATCTGAACAAACTTTGGAATGTAGACTTTCTCTCTTCAGATTTAGTACCCCCCAGTAGCACAGTGGTATGTCTGCGGACTTATACCCTTAGAAACCAGGTTTCGATACCTGTGTTAGGCAGAGAACAGATATACCTTTTTGTAGCTTTGTGCTTGATAACAAACAACAGAGTTATTAGTTTGACGTTTCGGACAGAAGGTCATTCATCGAATGCACAAAAGCCAAAATAAACAAAATTAGAAAACAATTATTTTCCATAATGAACTAAGAACAGTAACATCAATATTAGAATAATGTATTGGACGAAAAGTGGAAAGTATTTATATTTATGGCAAAGGTAATAAGGCTATCTGCTGCCGTCCCTAATTTTCAACTACAGACCAAAAGGAAGGCAGCCAGTTAGCAGTACCCCACCATTTACGATATAGGATTAACTGTCGCTTTTATAACGCACACACAGCTACAGTTCGGGGAATATCTTGTGGTATCGGACAGATTCGAACCCAGCTCTCCAGTTCAAAAATCCAGACCTCTACTAGAAGACCAACCCGCGCCCAAAAGAAGAAAGACAGGTTATAAAAATTGAGGGGGGGGGTGTAACAGATATTAAATAATTTTATTTAAAAAAAGACAAAACCAAAAAAAATACATTCTGAGTTCAGCAGTTATTTTATTATTACATTTTCTTAACTGGACGAAGGTTATTTTAAAATTAAGTATTCCAATAAAAATGATTTTAGGTGTTGCAATTATAATACTTTTAACATAGCCACTAAAATTCAGGTGTTAATATTTTTTAACGGTAAACAAATTTAACAGTGAAACGCAAAATAAATAATACAGAAACTGCCCAAGATTGTCATACAGCAGGGTTCTCCAAATCTTGCTTATCACAATACCTTTTTTTATGCCGATCTGCAGACTCTGAACCCCACTCTCTCTTACTTATATTTGTAACAGCAGATTATAAAATATTAAAAGTAGAAATCTACTTAACTGCTAAGAGGATGTTTGCTTGGATAAGCACTGTTGTTCCATTCGTAGTGTGATGACTGTGGAGGAAAAAGTTATGTTTAATGAACAGTTAGTTTCGGAGTTTGTTTTTCCTATTGAAATATTGCAGTCACTTGAGCGAAGAGTTTTAGACCACAGTAACAATATTTTTGTTTATAATGAGATTTAAGTGAATTTCTGTTTATCGTAAAAATGGAAAATTACTAATGTAATTAACATAGCGATTCCTCTGGAGGTACTCTGTGATCTCCCTGAGGATCGTGACCCCCAGTCTGAAAGAAATTGCGAAAGTGATTTATGATAAAGTTTAATACTACTTTTGAATCAAAGCAGTTGATCATTGAAATTGTTTTAGTCAAACTCTAAGTTTATAGTTAAGCTCATTTTCATAAAGAAACCACAACATTAAGCTGATTATGTATTAAGTAAAAGGTGTTTTGCACAAATATTCAATTAAACTTTATTTTATCTTTCTTTGGGTACAGAGAGCCGTAAGCGAAGCCAATGAAGAACTGCAACATTATATGACGTTCATCATACAGTCGACAAACAATGATATGCATTATCATACTTTGTCCGATCATGGTTTATTGAAAAACAAACAGTACCCTAAAGATTCAATGTTGAGAAGTAAAAATGTATGCGTATCAGGGCTGATGACCCATCTTATGCCTTCTAATAACGAAGATGAAGGAACTATATGTTGGAATAAAGGAATAAATACTGTCGCTAAAATTCCTAGAATCACAGGCATGATTGGAAAGACAAAGTTTAATGACGAATCACTAAATTTCAGCGAAAACAATGTGTTTGAAGAAACTCACGAAACCAAACAACAGGTCAAGTACTGTACTTCAAAAGAAAACGTTAAACTTCAAATAACACCACCTTCCGTTCTGCACCTGTTGGTACAACTGATCAACTGTTATCTTGGGTAGATAACCTTGTTAAAGAGGTAAATAGTCTGAACGTGGACGAAAATGAAAACATAAAACTGAAAAATCCTAGTGCGTTATCTCTAAACGTAACTAAAAAAATGATTTCACTAGCAAAGGATGTACCATCAATAAGCCACAGATAAACAGAGAGGATCAAATCAATGGACGAGGGGAACTAAAACTTATGACGACTGGAAATAATTCTTATCCACGTAGTTCTCAATATGCCAAAGAGAGCAAATGTTTAGATACCCAATACCGATATTCATCTTCAGATTATTCTTGTTCAGACTACTTGCTTCTGAAGAGTGCTAACGACTCTGAACATTTGTATACTTTTGATGAACTGTATACCAATGATAAAAAAATATCAAAATATAATCAAAGCCGGGAAGAAGAGATACGAAGTGAGTTTCGAGCTCAAACACTGACAGCTATTACTAATGTATTACAAACTACTTATCCTCAGGTTTCTGCACCTCATACGGTCAACAAAGAAATATTAGGTCCTTCACACTCAATGACTTTTGCTAATCACCCCAAAAAATCTCGAGAATACTCTTCACCTTCAAACAGAGATGCTGCACGAGGATTGGAATCAAAATGTATTAAGGAAGTATTTGATGAGGTCAAGCAGTTCAGAGGAGAAACGGATAAGCTAATTTCAGTTTCTTCTGAAGAGAGTCGAATTAAAATGCCTAAATATTGCAAGCAACTACATTATACTCAAAGTGGTAATTACAAGCCTGAATACACACCAGAAATACAGAAACATTCCTTACAGACGACATATCCGGTTTGCTACAGTCAAGATACTAAATCATTCACGAACCAACAAATTGATTTATCAAACTTCAATGAACAGTGTATATGTTCTAGCTTTATAGCCCCTACAGGAACTGAGAGAATCATCCCAGTATGTTAAAAGATTTTCATGAAAAAGACAACCCCCTGTTTTATCAACATTATCGGGCTTTCCTGACAAAGCGGACTTGTTATTACCCACATCTAACCTTTCAGTTTCACATTGATATTTTACAGCATTCATATGCAGTGAATCTTTCACATATCGGAAAATCACCTTACTGATCGAGGTGCCAAAAATAATGAACGAGAAAAGGAAGTGTTTATACCACAAAATCAAATAGTTGGTAACTCATTTAGTTATGAAATCATTTCAGAACCGGAACAAATGAGAAATCGAACCTCAGAGAATTCTATGAGAAACCAGACCCTAAATGAAAGTGTGGACGAAACAGAACTCTCGTTTTTAACAAACTCTCTTAATTTGCTGAGAAAGGAAAATATTGAAATGGGCTGTACGTCATGTAAGCACAAACAGCACCAAAGTGTAAATGATTCGTGTGCTTTATCTGCAAGCCAAGTTCATAAAACTTCGAATGAATTAACTTTACCGGATGTGTCTGCTCCATATAACAATGGTTTTAAGTCAGAAATATCTCAAACTGGTTTAAAAGCTTCTTTTAGAAATCCTACATTGTTTGAAAAAACTTTTGGCGAAGAAATTAGCAAGCAGTCCGAATCAAAAATTGTTACAGATTTTGCGACTTTTCCTCGAACTCGGAAAACTGCAGCCGTCAATGGTGATATAATACATAAATCTGTTATACACAATGAACAGAACGAGTTGTCACAAATTCTTTTTCCTGATGAAACGCTTGAACAACAAATAAATTCAGCAACTTTTCCAAGGTCTTCAAAATCAAAGAATTTGGTAAGTTCTTTTCTGATAGTTTATTTTGAAACATTCCGTATTTCTGCTGAACGCGCGAGATACTATGACGGTAATTTTATTTTAAACGGTGACGAAGAAATAATTTGCTCATTAAAAACGAAATACAACATTGTCTATTATTTATGAAAAATTGTGATCTATATTAATGCTAAAAATTCTGTTATAATAATGTCATATGATAATAACACAAACCCTAGGGAAACAGTGCTTAATAATATTTATTAATGAATGATGGGAAAAGCCCACATGTTTTATATGCTCCTTGTTAGTGTTTTAATTCTTTAGTGTGATCCATACTTTCAATAACATTTGTTTTCACGAGTTACCTACTTTTTCCAAGTTATTCCAGTAGTGAAGAAGGGAAAATAGATTAAAAACACTGAAATAAGTACATAACCTTTTACAGAGCCGCCAGGAAATTATTAAATTTATGACGATGATAGCTTCTAGCACGTATAAACCTCCACCAGAGAGACAACATTTGGAACTCAAGCCGGATCATAGCGTAGAAAATCATTCAATACAACAACAATCCAGTGAAATTGAAACAATGTCGAAAGATTCTGCAACTCAAACAGATTCATGGCCGTCAAAATGGTCAGAATTTTATATACTGTATAGCTTATCTTTGATATCTAACTCAAATGCTACATTGTATTAATGATAGGTACTTATCCATTTTTTAAGGCTTATTCACAGGCTATAAAATTGGAAAATGTAGGATTATATGTTGCTGATATATAACTTTCGAGCTATCCTATAAAATAAATTTGGTTGCAAATCACGCATGCATTATGGAATACATCAATCAATAAATCAAAGAGAACTTACAGTTATTAAATGTTTTGTCCAATGAACCTTTATTATATTATTTGTTATTTCAGCTCTGTCCTGAATAGTCTGTCCTGGCCTAAATTGTTGGACTGTGTTAGTGAGGATACAGAAGGAAACTTAAGTGGTGAAGAAATGGACCTTTTGCTTCTTCGATCCTCTTTTAAAGACACGGTTTTGTCAAGCACTCCTTCATTAGCTTCCATTAGTCGTGATGACAACCTTAAAGATGAACAAATCAACTTTTATATTCAAATGAAAAGCTGCCATAGTAGTAAAAATAGCAGTTTAGGGTTATCAGAATGTTCTGCTGTGTTTTCCCTTGACGACAATTGTTGTGATTCGCAACAACAGCATCCTTCTTTTGAAAATGACAATCGAGAATTGTTGGCATTAGAATCTCAATCAACTGAAACAACTCAAGAAAATTGTCAAAAACAGTTACAAATCGATTCAGGTAAAAAATTGTTACAATGGAAATGGAATATCACAAAGAGGCCTAAATCTCAGTCATGGCCTTGTCTCTCTCTTAATAGATCAGAGAGTGCTAATACGAAAAGGTGCTACAGCGAAAATTCGGTTGTTATTAAGAACTTCTACAGTATTCAGGTTGAAGGCAAAGTCGATGTGATGTCTATCTTCGGTAAACAGCCGTTACAAAAAATGAATTTTAAATCATTGTCAGACTCTATGTTGGAGAAGAAGGACACTATAAAGAACCATGAAACATTGGTCTGCTGCCCACAACTCGCCAGAAACACCCTTGCCGAAGAAGCTTTCGTAAGTAAAGCTACTTATTATAATTCAAAACTTGTATATATATATTCTTCATGTACATATATTTGAAGATATTTATATATAAGATACATTAATTTTAATACTAATTTTGTTACGAAGAGTTTAGCTTCATAAGCTAGCATTTTGAAAAAAAAAGAAAGAAACGCTGAAAGAAATGCGGCAATTACATGGCGAGCTGATTTTAAAATTACACACTAGATAGAAAAGTAGGTACTAAGAAGTTCTAATCTTTCAGTTAATATATATAGTCAGTTAACATCGACTTGTTAAAATAAGTCTGTTTGCCTTTTGGTTTAAGCCTCTAATTATTTGCAATTGTCAATCACTAAACTAACAAACACGAGGAAAACAATTATTGTAATAAATCATTCATTGTTCTATGGTACTCACTGATAGATCAACTGAGACAGTGAGTTGATATTTTATTTGCATTTTGTATTTATTGCAAAACTATTAAGGTTATTTACCGTCTTCCCTAAATTTGAACTTCTGACCAGAGGGAAAGGAACTAGTCAGCAACATCCTATCCCCACTATTTATGGTAAGGAATTTACTGTCGCTCTTATAATGCGCCTGCAGCTTAAAGTGCGGGGAATATTCTGCGGTATCGCACGGATTCGAACTAGGCTCACCAGCTCCGAAATTCTAAGCTCTACCACAGCGCCAATCCACGCCTTTCAGATTTTAACGTATTAAGATTGTCCAACTGTGTTAAATAATCCCTATATTAGAAAATATGCGTAAATACATGGGATTCTGATACACTAAACTAAACATTTAACACGTTTATTACACTTAATTATTTGTCTATACTTTTATAATTCGATGCTAGGTAGAGTTTCTTGTAGCGCTAACCTCACGTGAGATATGCTTTACGGAAAGACACTCATATACCACAGGGATCTGACAATAAATAAAGGTGGTATAGAGGCTAAAGCTAAATTTTATAAGAAAAAACATGCATTGGCAATTTACTGTAATACCTCTCAGAGAAGCTAAGGAAATATTTATGACTTTCAATAACTTCGTCAGTTATGCAATATGTAATAAAAGTTTGCAGAATGCAATAAAATTATTTCAGAAATTATTTCTGTAATTTTCAGAAGGTAAATATGTTTAACAAACTATACACACTTTGGGTACTTATAGCTTTTTTGTTATTTGTGTAATGTTTTAAAATATTATAATGAAATTCTGTATTACTACAACTTCACTGGTATTCATTTCAAACAACTAACTGTTCTGTTCACAAGAGACGGAAAACTGGATTTCAATTATTTGTATTGAGGCCTAGATATCTTTGTGTCTCACTTTTATAGATAAACAGTGAAAACCTTTTTATTTTATCATATATATACTTTTGTTTTACAAATTGACCACAGTATTCCTTAGTGGATGTATCTCAAAAGTCTGTCAGAAGATGGCGCTAGCCGATTACGTTATGTATTAGTTAAAGTGTAGAATAGAGTAAAAAATGAAGATTAACAACTACTTTATGTAAAAAATACAGATTACAGGAGTAATTTTATCTCAGATATTGTATAGTTTTTAATAGAGTATCTTAGTGTCCAAAGTCCGTATTTTGTATTGGCTCAAACAGTCTAGAAATACAGAAAAATATTTAAAATAATTGTAACTTGCTATTAATGAATTATATATAATCCATATATTGGAAAATCTGTGTAAATACATGGAATTCTGATACACTAAGCTAATCTTTTATAATTCTATGCCGGTAGGGTCTCTTGTAGCGTTAACCTGACAAGAGATATGCTTTAAGGAAAGACACTCATATACATATAAGTTAGTTAATTCTACGCAATAGAAATATAATTAGAAGTGCTTCCTGTCATTATACAAACAATAACTTACTCCTAATAAAATATTTGGCACTTTGAATGAAACTATAAAGTGTACAGATATTTCATGGCATGAGAAAAGTGACAGTGTCGTGATTAACTGCCAATATTTTGTTTGTTTGTTTTATAGTACAAACTCCACACAACATGCTATGTGTGCTGTGCCCACTGTTGTAAGAAGCCGGGTAGGAAAAAATGCTGAGAAACGTGTAAAATTGGGTTAATAAGACGTATACTGTTAACTTTAAAAAAAAAAACAATTAATTATCTTAAAACCGTCTTCTAAATTATTATATCATATAATTGACTGTTCGTTTGAAATAAAAATAGAAATACGTAAATCAAGTATTCTGAGAAACAAATAACAAATGTTACTTTGGTTTATTACATTGTTCAGTGGAGCAAGGCTGTTTGCAAATCTGGATAAGTTGTTATAAATGTCTTTTTGTGATAATGGTGTAAAATGAAACAAGCTTATTCATTATTGAAATCTGGGTTAAAAGAGTCTTTGAGAAAGATGGGGAGGCGTTATGTTAAACTATGCAATTATAACTTTGAAAAAATAATAGCTAAGACATATATGATTGTTTCAAACATACTGTTGGTGTGAACGTGCTTTATAGTCACCATGAGAAAAACCTATACACTACATAGGTGAAGTAAAGTAAAAAGTGTCATTGGCCACTATTCAGTTCTTCACATTATATAGCCACATCATAGCAGGTATAATAAATAAACTTAGTATTTCTAAAATTATTTAATTTTGAAGTATAAGTTCAAGGGAGGTCCAGTACAATCTACACTATGATGAACGTGTGTTATCTTTGGTGAGGTAATGGTAAATTTACGAACTTGCAATGGTAAAGTCTGGGGTTCGATTCCTTGCAATTGTCAGAGTGCAGATAGCCTTGCTCAAAAATACAAATTTTCGATTAGAAGAATTTTACCTTCTGAATAGATCTGTATTCTTGCCAAGATAAACGTTCGTTCATATTAAGTGAAGAGGAACGGTTGTTATATGAACTAAACCGTGAGAATAATTTAATATTTGTTGTCGATTTTGTTTAAATACAACTTGTTTACATATTAACTTAAAGCGTGTTTATAAATATAAAGGCCATGAGACATGTTTCTTTAAGCCGAGACAGACAGACATACATCCCCTATTACTCCAGTGTTTGTTATATTGAAGTTTATAGTCGTAACATTGGAATTATGATGGTTGACGTTTGAAAATTTTAGCAGTATACATTTCATAAATATTGGTACTTTGATACATAACAGTGTTAGGTGTAACATGTTCACCACCCAATGAAAACAATGCTGGGACATTCTCCTCTTTGCTATTGTTTGCTGTTACTTTTTTTAACTCAGTGAATTGCCATTAAACGTTGTAAAGGATTTGTATTTTTAGATTTGATGTATTTATTCTGAATTACCAATTACCAAAACCAGAGTCTATTATAACTCCACTCGAAATTATATATTACTTTCTTCAGAATTAAAGAAATACTAACTACTGAAATGTGGAAATGAGTATGAGTCCAAATGATCTTAAAATAATTTTGTAAGATATTGAATTATATAAGAAATTAAACCCTCACTTTGAATATATTAAAAATACCCATTAAAATATTCTTACTAGTACAATGATAAAAGCTATTGTTAGTATGTTTTATAATCACTGAATTCTATATAAACCACTTTCGTGCTTTATATTATTTTTATAATAATAAACTTTAACGCTTGATTTATGAAATGCTTGAACAACAGATGAAAAGATGCCTAGCTTTCGGTTTGTGAACGTTTTTAAATGTCGCGTTTGTCTTAAGACTTGGAGCTCTTCTAGGTAAACTTTAAACTTTGTGCAGCAATGAATTTATTGGTATTAATAGAAACAATGCAATGAGTATAGTATTGCTTTATGAACTGTTCTGATAGTACTTTAGAAGGGGCATTTTAGAAATAATTAAAAGCAAGCACAAAAGTTAGTAGTTTGTTCAAAACGTTTTAAACTCATATTGTACTGATCAATACAATCAACTCGCTTTTATTGAGTCACCTCATTTTTATATTGTTTGGATTTGAATGAAAAATTTGATTTTGTTGGATAAATATATAGATATATTTGTTTGCTCTAGAAGTTTTCGCGCCAAGCAAAGCAAAAGGCAATCTTCGCATAGCCGTTCTTAATTATGAACTAATAAACTACTATATGGACTTCAGCTAATGAACAGCACCCGCTGTCAAATCTTGAACTACTCATGTATGAACGAATAGTGAGAATTGGCCTTCAATCGGTTACAAAGTGTAGAGCATTTTTTAGGCGCGATAATAAACTCTCGGATTTAGGGTTTTGTTGTCTTATAAAGCCTAACTTCCCTTATTCCTTTACTAAAAATCCCCAGTGGCACAGTGGTATGTCTACGGTTTCGATACCCATTGTGTAGCTTTGTGCTTAATTATAAACAAACAAACTTTACTAAAGACGGGGCATTAATGTTCAGCTTTGTAAAACGATAAGTTTTAATATTAGTCTGTTAAACAATATTTAAAGAAAAGTAACTTTGCTATCTGGAAAACAGCAAAATATTTGTAGTGACACTTGAAGTAATTCCAAAAATGTTTTCAATCATGAGAGACATGATTATTTAGCTTGATAAACATATCTTGCTAAAAACGTTATCAAAATTATGTAAGGCCCATCCCATTGGAATGAATACAAAGACTACAATGAAATAAGATCAAAACCTATACTTAAAACCTTGGTTCGGGCAGAGACATGGGTTTGTCATCTTATAACACTGTTTATTGTTAATGGCTGGAGACGGCTTGAATGGGTAATGAAGAAAAACTTTAATACAACAGCAAATGTACAACGTTTCGACAAGGTTTTGTCATCATCAGGTACGATGAACCTGATGTACGATGTACGATTCAACC